TTTGAACCCACCACCCTCAGTATATGAGGCTGGTACCCTACCCACCAAGCCACAGGCGCCCCCCCCTTTCTCTACTCTTCTTAAGAAAAGTTATTAATTCATACTACCCTGGACATGATTTGTTAAATTATGGCTTTGCATATTTTCAAATCTTTTATTTTTACTTGATTAAATAATAAACTTCATGATCAGAGCACAAACTAAAGAACTAATCTAAAACTATGACTTATTCTACACCGAAGGCAATCCAAATCAGAAACTAGCTTCAAGCTAAAGGAAAGTAATTCCATTGGTATATACATTTGATTTTTAAGAAAAGCCTTTTTAGGGGTGGCACCTGTGGCTCAAAGGAGTAGGGCACCAGCCCCATATGCTGGAGGTGGTGGGTTGAAACCCAGCCCTGACCAAAAATTGCAAAAATAAAAAGAAAAAGCCTTTTTAAAATCTTACAATTTGGCTTGGCACCTGTAGCTCCATGGTTAGGGCGCCAGCCACATACACTGAGCCTGGATGTTCAAACCCAGCTGAGGCCTGCTAAACAAAAATGACAACTACAACAAAAAAATAGCCAGGCAGTGTGGCAGGCACCTGTAGTCCCAGCTACCTGGGAGGCTGAGGCAAGAGAATTACTTAAAGCTCAAGAGTTGGAGTTTGCTATGAGCGATGACGTTAAGACACTCTACCAAAGGCGACCTAATGAAACTCTGTCTCAAAAAACGAATAAAAAAAATCCTACAACTCTATTTTTTTTTCTGGCTGAAAATTACGAAAGCCATTTGCTGGTTCTAACAAAGTCTATCTTATTATGCCAAACATGCTCACTATTACTTAAATTAATAAATTCTAGGAAACCAAACCCCTTAAGAACAGGGCTGATGACCATTACACTTATTTAGGGGCTGGTCTAAACTGATGTATCCATTTCTAAACAGGGCCAAAGGACATTCCAGCAAAATCACTAGGTACATGTTATAAAAATGTAAATTCCTGCATCTTGGATTTAAGAATTGAATAATTCTGGCATGGGAACCTACAATCTAAATTTTTAATAGGCCAGGCATGTTCGCTCATGCCTATAATCCCAGCACTCTGGGAGGATAAGGCAGGTGGGGTGGTTTGCTTGAGCTCGAGTTCAAGACTAGTCTGAGCGAGAGGGAGGCTTGGTCTCTTTAAAAAAAAAAAAAAAATATATATATATATATATA